AGGCTGCTATGTTCTCATAAGAAGAACAGTCCTGTAAAAAGTCTATTTCTTAGTAAATTGATGAAAAATAAGACACAGAACAAAATTACCATTAACATTTTTTAGATGCTGTCATCTAGTTCATCTTCCCTGTCAATTTAATCCATCCTGCTCATATATTACCTTTTCCAATAAGAATCATTACATGAGTTGCCAATTTACTCTTAATTCTACACTGTAGAAATCCATTCTGACTTGTCTAAGATTACACTTAGAATCAAAATGTTTACTTATTAAATTCAGAACAAAAAAAAAAATCTCAATTTTTCAGTGGGTCTCAGCCTTTAGGCAAAGATAATTCAAACTGGTTTATTTTCAGCTGTATAACTATGTCCTATGTAAAAGTTCCACCCACCATTGAAAGCAGAGGGTGGATCTTCCACACTAAATGTGCAGTGTGAGTTAGGCCCTCTACACAGTCCCATGATGTCTATGATTCCTTTTCTTGCTATTGAAAATTTATAAAGATGACAAGTGAATCCTAGCATCTAAAGAGATTGTCACCTATCTGCTTCTCTACCCTCCATTTTTCTCCCTGACCAAGGTTACAACTGCCTCAGGCAAAAAAGCCATTCAGAACAGTGCATGATCCTCATCCACTTTACAGCAGTCAGGGAGCTCAGCATAAACTTTTAGTACAGGTGAACATAAACTGTCAGATTTTGGACCAACATAATAACACATGGACTTCTATTTAATCCATCTGGCTCCTAGCTGGGAGGTGATTTTCTGGCTGAACACAGGTCCTGACACTGTTTATAAGGGACTCTTTAGAAACAGCAGCATACTCTAATAATGTTCTAATATCCTAGATTCTCAGTATCCTCTCAGGACAGACACCTCCTCCCTATTACCGCTTTTAATTTTTCTTGGGTAAAACTGGCTCAGTTAACACAGCATAACAATGATGGCTGTGTTAGCCATCTACCAATGGTAATAATTTCAGACACCCTTGAAGAGGATGCATGTCCACAAGCTAATTTCTTAAAATGGTCACTTAAACGTGACAAACATTGGGCAAGAGAGAGCATTTCCCAGGTGCAGTTCTCCATCCCCACCTTTACTACAGGGTGACTAAGTCATGAATGAAGCTGCTAATGGCCATGAATTAAAGAAGCACATATCAGTGCTAGTTTATTTTGACAAGCCTAAAATCTCTGGGGTTATGGCTGCATCCCAAAGAGCCTAGTCCATCTTGCAGTAGAGCGAGTAAACTCAAAAAGAGGGGAGAAAGCTAGACCAAAATAGATTACTATGAGCAGGAAATATTACAGCCACACAAACATAAGCCATTCTAGCCCCTAAGTCAGAGTCCTGTGTGAGCATGAGGCAAGTCCCTTAATTGTATCAGCACAACCACAAGAGATTTCTAGCTGTGGCACCTTATTGGGGCCCCCAAGCCTAAAGTAGGAAAAAGCCCTGTGTTTTAAAGTTAAATGGCTAACAGAACTAAACCATTTCAAACAGGATTAAAACCAAGTTAACATCTAGAAAAACTGTTACCTATAGCATACAAGTGTGCTTTAGTGAGGAAAGGTATCATAAAACATTTGTTTAAAACCAGTCACTTTCCTGTATGCAACCCTTTTTTACTTTGCCATACTTTGTGTTGTTGGAAAGTTCCTGAAGTTCCTGGCTTGTCCCTCAGTAATAGTAGTAATTTCAGATATACACAGTGCACACAGTGAATTGCATACATCAAACCTATTCAGTACTCAAACTACTATGATGAGCAGATGCCAAAAAAATGGTGGCCAAAAAAAAAAAAAAGGGATGGAAGAAATGCAGTACATTTAGTAGGCAATTACTGACTGTATTTTCTGTGAAATATCAGGGACAAGGGGTTTTTTTGTGGCTGTGGGGGACCCAAACCTGAATGAGTTTTTCATATTCTTGTGATTGTCTTTTCCATATGCAAACCCAACAGTTCTTAAAACTGACATAAATAAGTGTTATTTACAAAGGCAATCTGGCCATAGATGTAAAGAACCCAAATAGATTTCCCCTTAACTCAGTTCAATGCTATTTTCTGAGCTCCTCTCTTCACACATGCAAGTCTTGCATTTAGAACAGGCTGCCTGAGGTCACAGACAGGATTTAACAAGTGCAAGCCTGCTTAAGGAGGCCGATTTGAACTGAGTGGATACAGAGCCTTATTTATGACACAATCATAATCTGAATGAAATTGGTTTATGTCTTGTTCGTGTTTAAGAGTACTGTGCTACCCTTATGCAATATTTGCATTGGAAAATAAGAGATTTGCATGAGAGTGTATAACTAACATTATTCACAAGGCTTTACAGGATTTTACAGTGGATCTCTAAGAAGGAAATCAGGATGATGGGGTAGCATTGATTTAAAAATAAAATCTGGATGCTATGTGTGAAATTATGTTGATTTCTTTTAGTAAAAAAGACTGTTTCACCATCAGTCTGAATTTAAGATGCAAAATCTCTTACCTTTTAAATAATACCTTTTGCTCCAGAACACTTGCAACCTATCTATCTGCATCGTGGTGTTAGTGCAGGCATGTTGAACATGGAGAAGTGACTTAGAATGAGAAAGCCCTGTTTGGAGCACATAAGGTCATCTCTTGAATAGGAGGATTTTCTGCTAGCAGCTGCCACTGCTGAATCTGACCAGTGACTGGAAGGCATCATGCCAGAAGCTGGGACATAAAAAGATCTTCAGGCTGGGAAGCACAACATTGAAATGGAGAGGAGCTGATCAGCTCTTTTTTCTAGTTTTAAAGATAGGTCAGGAAGGTGAGTGAGGCAATGACTGATGGGGTTGGCACCTGTGGGTTTGTCTATGGGGGAAAGATACACTACAGTAAATTTAATTAGCTTTGAAGCCAGAATAGTTTTTGCAGTGCCTGCCTCTGATATGCAACTTCTTGGTATAGGACAGCATTTTTCATTTTCAACCTGTCATTAATGGATTCAAAGTAAGAGGTAAAAATCATCCTTTGTTATAAAAATGTATACATGAAAGTTTGCTGTGATAAACAATGTAGAGACAAATCTATGCCAGGAAAGATTTGTCAGAATAGCCTTCCCAGGAAGCTCTCTTAAGAGAGGGGAATCCTGTAGGGGCAACAAAAGGTTTCACCTGTGTAATATGCACAAAACCAGGTGCAAAAGGTCCAAATGAGCTGTACCACTTCTGTGCCACAATAAGTGTGTTTCACCTTGGGGTGTTACCAGTATAAAAAGGATACAAGACAAAGCACCTCACTGGCCATTTGTATGGCTGCCAAGGTTACTTGTTTTATCAACCTTTGTCTGTTTAAACTCATATCTATCTTATTTTATACCACATTTTATGTCATTCTTAAGACTAGTCTGGTGATGCATAAAGACATCACCAGACAGACTATTGTTCTATCCATACCATGGCTGCTAATCAAGTTCTAATGCAATAGTGAGCAAATTGAAGAACACATTTAACACCTGGTAACATATAACATCCAGGTAACACACTGATTTTGCAGAGACACACATTGAAGATGACTCTATTGATTCAGACTTTACTGCTGAAAAGATTAACTAATTTTTTTTTAACCTTAGAGAAACCAACATGTGTCAGCTCTCCTGTCATAAGAACATAGTCAAGATAAGGTGCTTTAATTTTGGAGTGAGGGCAATTTTCCAAGGTCAGACCCAGTCTAAAAAGACAGAGCAGATCTTGCTAAAGTAACCTTATGATAAAGTATCCAGCACTTGGCTGTATTTCCAGTTTCGCATATCATATATATCCAAATGATTTTATTGGAAAAGCATTGGGGCTTTTTTTAGCAGCAAATAACTAGCCTTTGTAATCTGTTGACATGTTACTTCAAAAGCATTTCAGCAGTTCTCTCTACATAGCACAAAGCTTATAAAAGAGACCTAAATTCTACATGCAACTGAAATTTGCTGTGGGCATCTATGACAAGTCTCTGAAAAAGGGAGCTGTATGTCCAGGGTGTTTCATTAGCCTTGGTGACGCAATTTGCCTTTGGAATAATCATGTCTACACACATGGAATTGCTATGCCTACACAGCTGTTAGAACATTGCTGCTTTGCATTCTTGGGAGATTCCATGGTTTATTGCCTTACCCTTCTGGTTTTTTCCCATGCTTGCTCACTGTGAATACTTCAATACAGAAAGTAGTGGAATATTTCCTATGATTTTCTCTTATTTCATCACAACTTTGGAAATGAGCCCTATTTTTAAAGGACTATTGATCATCAGACAAGAAGCACTGAAGACCACCGAGAGGTTCCAGGGCTACTTGCTTACCTTCAGGGACAGGTGCATAGCTGAAGCTGAGAATGGAACTGACTAAGAACTAATTCATGAAGTGGTGAGGCTCAGTAGTGATGACATTTCAAAAGGTTTAGGAATATTAACCTTCAAGAGTCTTAAATGGAGAAATTGCCCCACAGCTGTAAGAAAGGAACATTTCATAAGGGTTTATCTTGGCTTGGTGAAATATAATCATCCATTTTAATCTGTAGAGTCATCATTCTCATTTGGTAATCATTTCTGCATACAGAGATCCACAGAAAAAATGGTCAGGTTTATTGTGAATGGGTTGTATGCAAAAACTAAAATCCTGGTTGGCATATATGAGTTGGCAACACACAAGAACTTCTTGATGAGACTAAATATTTGAAATTAATTAATTTTGTTAGGTAATTAGGCACTTCTAGAATTCTACCATTAATGTGACAGATAAGATTATTCTCACTTCAGGTTGTACCTCACAGAAGGTGGCATTTTCCTATGATATAGCAGATTATCACTATGGAAAACTTACTAATATTAGAATGACCTGATCAGTAAGTCCAAGAAAGTTATATTTTTAGAAATACTAGACAATTTAATACTATTTTTTTCATTAAGGGCAAATATAGAAATCAATAATGCTATGATTGTTTTGTCTGTTCAAAAGACTGAGCATACCCACATATCAATGCTTCCCCTGTTTTTGGAGACTTTCAAAGGATGCTTTATTCTCAACCAAATGGGGTGATTTTAAATTGTACATTAATAATACTCAAAAGCTGTATGCTTGATTGGAGAAATCTGCCTCATGAAAATTACTTTATCTGTAGAAAGAAACTGTAGATTATTTCACAGCAAAGTAAACAGAAACACTGAGAAAATTCAAGAAGTAAATAAAATAGTGATGGTAAGATCCTCCATCTGATCAGAAAGACTAGAGTCAGTGCTGCCCCACAATTAAGTTGTTAAATGAGTGCACATTTGTGAACAAAATGCCTGCCCTCTTGGGGCAGAAGTAGGGAAATTTTTATATATGAAGTTTTTTAATATATCACAGAACAGGGATTTTATTGAATTCTGTAAAGCTTTTAATATAATCAAGCAAGCTTAGGAAAATAATTTCAGAAAGTATAAGTTAGTTAGGGCAAGAGAGCAGCAGAAAATATTATTTGGAACTTCAGAAACACAATACCCCTTTGGGCAGATGAATAAGTTATGGGGTCCCACACAATCACATTTTATGTGCTACTTTGCAATGTGGAATGTGGAAGAATAAACCTGAACCTGCAAACTGCTACCTCAGTAGACACACTATTAATGAATGAATTTTATCTTTGAAAAAAGAACATATTTAGATTTATCTGCTGTCTGTCTCCTGCAAAAGCTGTTTTTAAAGGATCATGACCATTCTCCTCTATTCTCTTTCCTCTTAATCATGTTAAATTTAACTTTTTTCCATTTCTCCTTAATTTTATCACTTTGTTGTGTACAGAGAATCAGTAAATATGCTACACCTTGATTTCCTTTCCTTTTTGTGTAGATTAGACAGGTGTTTGTCCAGTGTAGACACCTCTGGCCATGGTTGCTGAATGTAGCATGGATGAGAAAGATAAAAAGGAACACGTAGTCATTACCAAAGAAATGGCCTCTGTGCCAAAAGTAATAAAATATAGCTTTTTCCTTAATTGCACAATATCCTTGCCAAAATAGGGAACTGTGTTTGCCTAAAGATTTCTTTTTTAATACCTGTGGGTCAGTATAAAGTAATCTGTTAAATAACTATTATTCTGCTGTCACTAAAGATATACAATACTGAGAATCTCTGTAATTATTAAAATATTTGTGTAGTCAGAGTTGGGTGATTTGTAACAACTCAGTCCGAAGATGAAGATATGATAAAAATAAGTCAGTATATGTATTCTATCCCTTTGGGGTTTTCCATTGTTATCCTTTTATTTCTGCTCTTACAATTAACTTCTACTTGTTAGGCCACACAATGTTGCCCTGTTACATATGGAGGAAATATGATGGAAATTGTAGAACGGGAGAGAAGAGTAACCATGATGAAAGGCTGTTCAGCAGACTTAATCTAAAATTTGTTTTACATAAGTGGGACTGAGGTCTTGTACCTTGAGGCACTACAGTGTTCAACTCCAAGCTGGTATAGAAAATTAATGGTTTAAAATAATTTTTGTATCTTGAAGATTCTGAGGTACAGTTGCTTCTTTTCCTCATGATTATATAACAAACTTTTTTTTTTTTTTTTAATCTCAGTGAGAAAAGAGAAATTCTGCATAGATGTCCAGATGTAGAAGTCTGCTCTGTAAAAAGAACTGAATCAGGACTAATCACCACTGTCTCCTTTTATTGTCTGTGGGGGGAAAAGTGGAGAAAGAAAAAACACTTTAAGGCATGATTCATACCATCCTAATGTAGGCATCTGAAATAGGTCAGGTTCATTGAGCTAAAATGTCTGTTTTTCTCTGTGGACAGTGGCATGGTCACCCTGGGGAATCACTAGCTCAGATATGGATATCTATGTTATCAAGTAAGGTGAGATGATTTCCACTCTATGTTAACTTTTGTGACCAAGAATAAATATCTATAAAGAAAGAAACATTGCCTCTATAAAAAAGGGCTTATAATGGAATGATATGTGCTAAAGCTCTTGTTCTACATTCCCTACAATGACCCAGATCCTATAAAACTTAAAGATTGAAATCTCATGCCAGAGAAAAGCATGTTATAATACTGCACTATCCTTCATTCTGACTTGTGAACGTGATTTCTCACTCAACGTAAAACACATACCAAGAAATACACAGAAATTATCTAATTAAAGATGTGCACACAGAATTCAGAGCTGATTATTATGTGTATTACAATTACTGCATACAGCAGTACATCAATATATTAGGCTATATAAACATATATGTGTGAATATACATGCTAATAGACAATTATAGATAATGGTTGTAATTTCATACATTAATAAATGCACTGCATTGGTATGCAAACTAAATAGATTTTAAAAAATGTAGGGATAAAGACAACAAGAATATGTCCTTACTTTATTATGAAGTTCTGAAAGACTATTTAGCACAACAGAAATCTTAGTGCTGACATAGTTCCATCACTAATTGGGGAAAAGAAAAGCATTCATTGAATATTTCTGTTTTGCATTTAGAAAGAAAAGCAGTTTCTGCATTGCCAAACTATCATCTCTTCTGACATTTTCCAAAGCAGATGGTAAAGAACGTCTATTAATTTTTTGAAATTGGCAGGTCCACATAACTTGATTGAAAGGTTTTAAAAACAATTTGTACTGCTCTGCATTGGCAAAAAACTTTGGCATACTGGAGAAGTCCAAGAGGCCTGGAAAAACCTAATGCCGTGTGGATATTTCAGCAACATAAACAGGATGACCACAGTAACTCTAGATGAGTTAACTTGACCTTGGTTCCGTGTGAAAGAATGGAACAGCTGATATGGGACTCTGTCCATAAGGAAATAGAAAATGGTAACATAATTACTGCCAGTCAACAGGACTTTATGCAAAACAGGTTAAGTTAAACAAACTGCATAGTACTTTTATGAGATAAGAATTTTGATTATTTGATTTGTTTAAGTAAGGTAACTATGTTGACAAAAACAATGCCTTTCAGACTTCTGTTAAGCATTGATACCACATGACACTCTGATTAAATGTTACACTAGAACAAAACCAAGACAACATATAATAAATGAGATTAAACCATAGAACCCAGAATTTCAATGTGGAATTGTTAATTAAAATTTACCAAGTATCACGAGTGTGCTGCTACAAAGATTCTTCCATGCCTTAGACAGTTATTCAATCCATTTACCTATAGGGTGACAAAGAAGGGCATAAAATGTAATAATACCTCCAAATTCTGCAAATGGCAAGAGGAGAGAAATTATGAGGATAGATTACAAACAGGAAATGATTTAGACAACTGTAGCTAAGTAGAAATTACATGGGTATAAATGTTGCCAATTAAAAGCCATTTTGGGAGGAAAACAGAGATTACACTTGCAGGACTGAGAGTATAGTGGGTCTAAAATATTAGTTGATGTTGATGGTTAATTTTTTAATGCAAAACAGCACTAAGTTGGTTAATGTTGGTTTTTACACTGGTAGGGGTGAGAAATGGTCTTCTTATGGCTGCTGTAGTCAGACCAAATTAAGCTCACCATAGAGAAAGACAGAAGCAATGAAAGCTAGCACCCTGCAGACACCCTGTTTTGGACTATACAAACTAATCAGTTTCCCTGGGATATATTGCAAACACAGCAGATGAAGAAATAGTTAGCAGGGGTTATGTACATCTGCATAAATAAGGCACAAGAAGAACAGCAGGGAGTTTTTCCTTTTTGTGTTTGGGGAAACCAGACCTTGGCTACATTATTTGTAAATAAAGTTGCACAATTTTGCTAGCCTTTGTGGTGTTTGTGTTTTTGTTTGGGTTTTTTTTTATTTCAGTGAGTACAAAACAAGTTTCAGAGTGAATCAAGAAGCTTGAGGCTGTGATGAAATTTTCAAGATTTTTAGTGGGAAACCTATCCTGACTGTGTCCTGCTTATTTTCCTGTATTCTGGTCCCCAGAGATTTGCTGTGTAAGAGTTGGAATTCTTTCCTGGCCCCTCCCTGGGCAGTCATCACTGGCATGGAAGGACAGAGCTGTCTGTGGCACACACATACACACACACACACCATCCAAGCTACCCTGCTTCCTCCAGTCTCTTCCAGGACCAGAGAAAGACACTAATTTTCCACTCTTTGTTTTCCTTCCTGGCATGTTTTTAAAGGGAAAGATGACAAAGGCAGACTCTCTGCAGGTCTCACCTCACTCTTGCAGTTTGGAAAGGAGAGAGCATGTATAAAAGAAGTTTGATGGGGATTTGAGAAGCTATATGAGATTGCATGCAGCCAGCCAAGGGACCCTGATCTCTTAGTCCTCTCCAGTCTTCAGGACTAGGGTTTTGGATGGAAAATATGAAGCAGGAAAAGGGGACATTTAAGTTCCACTTCTGTATGGAGTCAAACCTGAAGTTTGAAGAAACTGCTTGGGATTCGGTAACCTGGTAGAGTTCAGTGGGCTGCTGAAGGGAAGCAGAGGTGAAGCTGCAGAGAAAAAAAGTGGGGAGAGGTGAAGCTGAAGAGAAAAAAAAATGGGGAGATGCATATCTCTTGGTATTAGTCAGTGTCTGTGGATAAAACAGAAATAATGGCTGATAATGTGATGGGGAATCAGACTGGTGCATCAGGCCATGTGAGGGAGCAGCCCTCATGCTGCCCTGCAGCACAGGCATATACCCCACATGCCTCAGGGGACAAAGTACCTTTGGTGACTCACTGCCTCACAGTCCTGAGCCTTTTCTCTCTGATCTGACACATAACATCAGTTCATGGAGTAGAAGAGCCTGCAGCAAAAATAAGTAGAAAGTGGGCCAAATGGAGAGAAGTCAGGCAGGAGCAAGTGTACAAATGTCATTGTTAATGCATGAGATTCAACAGATTGGGAACCGAGAGGCAAATGGGGGGCAGGACTGATATTGGTGCTGGGAGAGTACAGGAGTCAAAAAAATCACCTAATCTAATAATTGCTGATACTCATATGGAATGTGAAGATCAATAATGATGAAAATGGATAAAATGAATAGGTTATAAATAAAGCACTGATGAACAACATCCCTGCCCCTCAGCATCTTCGCCATCAATGACATTGTGGGCTTCTGTCTTTAATCTCTCTTCTAAATAGCCTGTAATTCTACCCTTCTAAAACAATGACCCAACAGCTGGTGTCTTCCTTCTTTCTCTACCATCACCAACAAGCCATCTGTGAGAAGAGAGAGGGAAAAAATGAAATGTCTGTATTTTGCTCTCACCGGCTTTCCTCGCTGGCTGAGCATCTGTCCCACAGCTGTCACACAGCACTTGGAGAGCAATGAGTAACCTTAAAGTCCAAATGTCTTCCCGTTTCCTGGTTTTCAGGAAAGGCATCTGTGCTGTGCTCCATAATGCCTAAAATGTTTCCTGAAAATTTCCAATAAATTCCAAAGTGGTCATATTGCATCCAGAAAGGCAAGCAATCAAATATATTCATCGTGGCCTTGTAAAAGAGAGGGAGCAAGTGTTAGTTAGTTGTCAAGAGTCCCTTTACAGCAAATGGAGGAAAATTCTTCTCTAATGGAAATGTCACACCTTTTTTAATGCATTGTTTTGTGATTTTTGAAACCAAAACTGTATACAACTAAATATAAGAGGCTTTCAAATTAAGCTGAATGCTTTTGTTAAGTAAGCACAGCACACAATGTTGTGTCCATCAGGGTTTTATGCTACAGAAGCTCTAAAATGCTCTAACTGGCAAGAAGATGAATGTGGCATGGTGAGAGGAGATGATATCTGTCTGGACAAATTCCCTGGTACAAAGTTAATGCCTTAACTTTGTAAAAAAATTTAATTAGTAGTTGACATTGTAGGAATCAACACCTACATAATGTGGCTACACATTATCTTCTCCATTATTAAAATGGACATTAACCAGATTGACTATGCTTAATGTTATACTTCAG